TCGCATCCCGGCCCGCTGCGCTGAGCGGGTGCGGAAGGCGGCAGAACCGCGTAGCGCCTCCCTGTCCCTCCTGTTCTTAACGTACGCGGGTAGAGCGGCGCCTCGGAACGCAGAAAACGATCCCCAGCGCCAGGTCGCCTTCCCGGCCGGCCTTAGGATCTGCGGGAAGGACGGAGTGCGGCGCGGCAGGCTAACGGGTCCATCTGCGGCCACAGAGACGGGTCACCGGGGTGTCCTCGTCACTGCCCAGCTCCAGCGGGGATCTCAGCCCTGTCGCCGCTGCTGCCGCCCCCGATCGTAGCCGGCAGCTCTGGATGTGCTAGTTAGAAGATACCCCGCGTTCCTGTCTTGTCTCCTCATTGGGGTTCCCACCAGTATTCGCTCAGCTCCAGCTTGCGGAGGGACTTCAGTGCCACAGGGGTCCCCTTGTCACCAGGACTTCCTTCCCCTCTGTGGGCCACTAAACCTCTCCTCCGAAACATCTGTATTCCAGCGGCATGAGCCCTTGGCAGCTCCCAGCCTGGGTCAGGCAACGCTTTTTTTTACGACCAAAAAATTGCAAAAATGAAAACAATGCTTATTACTCTTTCTTCAATTACAGCCAAAACGTTCAGCCTGCATAACGAGCAAAGTCCATCTTAATTTCTCTCTCCTCCCAGTTTACCGTTAGATGGCAGTAAATAGCTCCCGCTCAGAGCACCCGCAAGCTCAGGCTGGGCTCGCAGGAGCTTCCTCCAAAAAAACATGCCAGGAAACATTCAAAAAGCGGGTGGCGTTCTTGACACTGACATTCTGTAGGGCACTGAGATGCTTTTTCTGTGTTTGTTTGTCTGTTTCGCTTTCCAAATCATATGACACCACAGCAACATAAGGCAAAAATGTTGGCTTTGCCAAGAGAGAGTAGCGCTCCATGAAGCCTTCTGAAGTTTGAGTGACAAATTAGTCTGATCAAGATATACTCTCCATCTCATAGTTACTCTCATACCTTTTTTCATTTTTTTTTTTCCCCCATGGAGTCTTATCCTGTCTAGAGAGTCTAATCCTATTTATGATTTTCATTTTGCATATATTGATATACTCCCTATGACATTCACTGTCATTGTGACCAGTCTCACAAGGAGACTAGAGTTTTTATTTTTATAGCTCTGAGAGAAAATTCTCGATAACATTTGACCTGTACGTTGGACTCTTTAATCGAGAATTCCCTTCCCTCTCCTATGCTTTTTTTTTTTTTTTCCCCTGCCCCAGCAGCTCTGTTTCTCTGTAAGGTCGGTCAAGGGGCAGCTGCAGCTCCGTGGCTGCTGGCTGCTTCAGGAGAGCAAGCCAGGAGCACCATGTTGTCATTCCAGCCCTGTCAGGAGCGATAACCCTAACAACGTAAATTTCACATCTCACCAGATTGTCCGTGCCGCAGTTTTAGCTTCAGCATCGCCTTTTCGGAGCCACCTGCCCTTCAGGTGACACTGCTCGTCTCGAAGTGCCCCAGTGAGGTGATTCACCAATGTCCCCTGGTGTTGTTACCGCCTGGGAAACAGAGTGTCCCTGCGTGAGCGCCTCCGTTAAGGCTGCCCGTGTTCATTTGGATAATGAGCTACACCTCCCTGACTGCCAGTTCATCTCTTCCAGGAATGTGTGCCTGTTTTCACCTTTTAGATGTTTTTATTTCTCTTGCTTGTTGCTTACATCCAGTCTTGCACACAGAAACCCTCTTCTGAAGTGACCGAGGCCTCACAGAGCTCATTCAAATAATGAGCTAAATCTCCCGCGTGTTCTGTAGCCTCATCTTAGACGTTACAGATAGATAACAAACACAAAGGTGAGGTAGTTGAGTTTCAGCTATTGTTTTATATTCCTTTAAACGATGGAGGTACAGCCACTAAAGTAACATTTTTTATTTGTTTGTACACCCTTCTCAATATCCCCGTAGTTTTGCTTACGTCTGTAGTGGAAAGCTATGTTGAGCCATAACCAGAAAGAAGATGGGAATGGGCAGGTCAGACTGCTCTGACCTGCGCTAAAGAAGCTGATAGAAGCCACCCTAATAAATCAGAGCACAGTGACCCACCAGGGCCCAAAATTAACAGCTTTCTTGATAGAGAAAATCAGTGCAAGGGCAGATATTAAACAAAAGGCAGCAAAGTTGTTAGTCACTTCCTTCAGTCAGCCTGGACTGGATTCAGCCCAGCTGCCTAGAGGGAAAGGCCCCAACACCTCCACTGCTCTTCCTTGAACTTCCCAGACCAGGAGAGGTTTGCAGGGAGATTTGTTATTTTTTCATTTACTTTCTCTTCTTTGCCAGTTATCTAAAATACAGTGACTTCCATGTAGGAAAAAGTTAATATGCTGTTTTCTAAGACAGACTAAACCCCTTCAGTCATTCTGCAGTGAACAAGCTCAAGCCCTGCTGGCTCTAGGATTTATCCAGCTACTGCTAGCTGCAGAGAGCAAATACAATAAAGAGGAAAAGTGACCAATTAAGCATTTGTTATTTGCATTTTACTTATTAGCTGTAACAACTACACACTTGGTGAGCAAATGTTAATTAGAGTGAATTATTTGTTTACTTCTGTGTTTATTTCAAATTGATTGCTTTGCTATTTAGAATATAATGTCCTCTTCTCTATTTGATAGTAACTAATTCAAGATGTATGCTTGCAAGACTAACATAATTAATTTCCAATGAAGGAATATAGATTGCTCCTCCACCTGTGTACAATTAGAGATTTTTCTCTATCTACTTTTTTTCCCCCTGTGTTTTTAAGAGCAGAAAAGGCTGCTCAGAGCAGTGCAGTTTCCCCTTGGCCAAAGGACAAGGTTCTCTTCATTATCATTTAAGAACATGCTGCATTAGGAAGCAGAAATGCATCTCCACGCTTCTATACACCTTGGTATAATTAGAGGTGTAATTGGGCTGGATGGAATATCGTATATAAGCAGATTGTTTGGCTTGAGGCCACCTCATTCTTTCACGATGCCCAGAGGCATAAAAGCAAGTGCATGAAGATGCAGAGGGAGGCCAGGATGGCCTGTCTTCCGTGGCAGTGTGTCTTTGCAATACCTGCTACTTAAACTCCAGATATTCCCACTGCTAAATGACGGGTCCTTCTCTGCATGGTGCCTAATGACATCCCATAGCTATGAGTTCACCATTTCAGAAATGCATGAAGTCCTAACAGTCAAATGATCCATGATATTTTATTATGATATTTTAGCAGTCTAATCTTTTCAACTCTTTGACCGTTCCCTTTTTCTCCAAATATGAAATGACAAGAGCCGATGACCTGCCATCTAAATCTTGTTCGTCTGTATGCTCTTGTTCATCATTTGATCGTATTTGTTCTTATTTTGTCTTTTCTAACAAACAGCCCCAACTCTTTTAGTTCCTGTTTATCAGAATACTCCATGCTTCATATCATTCTCATTTTCTCACTCACTCTTCCTGCCTCCCCCATAACCAAAACAGAATTTAGCCAGAAAAGGTAACAGAACAGTAAGCCTTTCAGGATGCCAAGCACCTAGACTATTTCAATTAAGAAGCAAGAGCAGAAATTAATTTTAAAACTAGCTATTCCTTAAGGCAGCCCCCTTTTTATATAGAAGAACCTTTGTATTACTGTGGGTGAAAATCTGCCTTGCCCAGCAACAAAGAGAAGGCAGTCATTAAAGATAAAAAATAAGCAAACTGTAACAAAGAGAAAAGGAGAATAGAAAAAAATAGATTCAAGTTGCTAGTTATGATTTTTCATACTTCCAAAGAGAAGATAAAGGCATCCACTGTTATCAGAAAAAAAATACTTGGTATGGATAGCTAAAAGAAAAAAAAAGTGAAATATGTCATGGATAAAAAGAAATCTTAAAAAGTCACAAATAAATGATGATGGGTAATTGGGAGGGTGATGAGTAAATGATGATTATTCAGGATGCAGAGATTTTCAGTGAACATTTTAACACTTCTTTTGAAAGAAACAGAATGAAATGCTAGCATAACATCAGGGTAACTAAGTTTTTTTTTAACCCATTGGTAAGTGAACTGATGCAGAATCTCTTGTTGAGAGCAGAAATCACAGGCTTTAGAGCTAGTGCTCAAGACATGGTAAGAAGAATTTTGCTCCACTAATTATAATTAGTTATAAATTATACAATGCTAGGGAAACTCAAGGAGACTGTAAATGTGCTAATATTGCATCTATGTTTAAGAAATGCATCAAAACGATCTCAAAATTGCATCAGACCACAAACATTACAAGGCTGCTGCTGCTAAAGCGATAAATTTATTTCCAAGCTGCATCAACAGAATTGCTGTAAGCTGAATTTTCAGCTGGAGTACGCTGGAGCGTGGACACAATAGACTGTGGACAAAACGATAT